TAGACAGCAGAATTACACAAGTTATAATGATGGTTTGGAACACAGTAGGAGAGCAAAGGGACAGACACAGAACCAATTTGATAAAACCGTTCCTAAAGAAGAAGCTTTTGAGTCTTGATTTGAAAGAGCTCAGGGAAAGTGGCTATCTGATATTGTTGCAAATCCATGCCAGAATGTTAACAGGTCCTGTACAGATGAGCGAGAGAGACAGAGAGAGAGTCGAGGCAGTCGGTAAGAGCACTGGAGGATTCTCCGAATCGTCAGGCGAGATCGTGGTCAAAGAATGAGAAACCAAGTCCATATCCAAAGAAGTCGTTCTAGAGAAGTTTTAGAAAAAGGGCGAGGTAGGAGCTCTCGAGATGAGGAACTAATACCGAGCGTAGAGCAGAGAGGAATGAGGGTTTAAGTATGACGCGACAGCAGGAGGTGATTAGCTAACACGTGCATAGCTAATTACACTTGTTGTAATTAGTGAGCCGCTGAAACCAGTTAACTCGTTTGCGGGTAGATCTCCAATGACTTGTGGTCGTGACAGATATCCTCAGGGATACACATACAGATTTTGGGGGTATAACAGGAGAAGGCCTATAGAGTGTAGATGGGCTTGGGGGACAGACTGGAGATCAGAATTAGAAGAACGCAGGTTGCAAGGTGAGGAGTAGGGCGATGGGTACTGACATGCAGAGCCTTATAGGTGAGCATGAGGATTTTGAAGACAACACGAAACCAGAGCAAGCACTCCAGGGTAGAAGTAATGTAATTCTTGAACTAGACCTGGTCAGGATGCTGGTGGCTGAATTCTGGACATGCTGTAGTTTATTCAATGTGGATTTAGATACCACAGCGAGTATGGCATTACTGTAATCAATTCGAGAGAAGACAAAAGTGTTGTTTCAGCAACAGTTAGCAACAACACTTTTGCATGGAACATGGAAGAATACAGGATGTTGCACGTGTGGGTCAAACGTCAGGCCAGAAGTTCTTCCCAAAAGCCCCAAGTTCTTCCATTTGGACTGAAATTCAAGTACGGTATCATCTACTGCATTGGTTTTGCATAGTTGATGGGGGATGCCAAGAAGCATGACTTCAGTCTTGTCGCTGTTTAAATGAAGGAAGTTTTGAGTCATCCATGTTTTTATGCCAAAGGTGTAATCAGACAGAGCAGAGCCAGTGTCGGGTTTAACGTGGACACAGATTTGAATATCACCAGCGTAGACAAGATCCTTTAGACCATGTGATCTTAATAGTTGACCAAGTGGGAACATGTCCAGCATTAGAACTGAAACTGCCAAGAGCGACAAAATGTCAGCAATCAGTAACATCAGACTTGAACCATGTAAGAGAAATGTCAGAGACTCCAAACACAGTACCATGATGAGACAGTAAGATAGCGTGGTTAACAGTGTCAAAAGTGGCACCAAGGAGAATAAGAATGGAAAGAGAACCAGAATCAGAAACCATAAGATCATTAATGACTTTAAACAGGGCAATTACTGTACTGTGTAGTTGTCTTAAACCAGACTGAAGGGGTTCCAAGGGGATAATTGCAATGAGATGGTCATTTAACTGAATTTTAACAGCATTAAGAAAAAGAAAATACCCAGACCGGCTTCAGCTGGGTAAAAAGGAAACAAAGTAAGGATGCCACTGTGGGAGCATTAACAACTTTGAAAGAGGTTCAGGTTTCAGTGGCTGACATGAGGTGATATGGCCATGAGTCACTCCGAAAAAGATGGCTTGTTCAGAGCCGAAGAACAAAACAAAAAATTCAGATTCCGGATGAGATCTGCACCAAAGCACCTACGTGATACTACAAACACGTGGCAAAGGGGTTTTGTGGTCAGACTAGACACGTGGATGCAGTGGGAGCATTGCCGCCTTGGAGCACTAGAGCCCCAGATTCAATTCCGGGGTGCTGCCTGCGATGAGTTGATCCTGCATGTTCTCCCCACGTTTGTGTGGGTTTTCTCAACATCCACCGGTTTCCCCCTGCAGTCCAAAGACATACTGCAAGGCTAATTGGACTCCTAGGACAGTCGGGGTGTGTCTGTGTTTGCTGCCCTGTGATGGACTGCCGTGGACTCTACCCTTTCAGAGTTTATCCCGCCTTGTGCCTGTCGCTAGCCGGAATCGGCTCCGGCTCCTTCCCGACCCTGTATTGGATAAAGCTGTTAGAACATGGATGCATGGACAAGGCAAGACAGGAGCAAGGCAAGATAAATGCAACACGCTACATCTGATGCACCACCCACACTGTCAGGCAGTGCTAGCATTATATTATAATTCTGCTTCTTCTGCTTCTCATCAGCAGGTACTAGAAAGCTTGTCAAGACTGATGGGAATGGATGGAGCAAAGTACTGGCAAGTCTCAGAGGAAAACTTGCTTCAGGCCTAAAGGTAAGACAAAAATTCACCACAGTGTATCCCTCCTTGCACCCGTTGCTTGCTGGGATAGACTCTGGCAGCCAGGTAACCCTGAACTCAATAAAGCTGTTAGAAGATGGATGTCCAGCATATGCATTGTAAATGAAAAGCTGTATCTTTGTACTTCTCTTAGTTTGAGGTGCAGGTGTGCGGTTTAGAGACCAGTCTAAGAGAGAAAATATGCTTAGGTATACGCATAAGACTGCAAGTGTGTGAGTTTAATTGGACATCTCTGTTAAAAAAGAAGAAAAGAAAAGAGGTCTAGGTAGTTGTGGAGTCAGAGAACTTCATTGTCACAGTTAGAACAGAGAAAAAGGTCAGATTCCCATAAGGTTATAAGGGAACAACAGGTTGGCTCTCCATTGTGGTTAAAAAGGGTTTGAACTCCTGACTTCCCTGAAGGTTTAGGTCAGGAGGGAAAACCACAACACTGTTCTCCCTTTATTAAGGTTAGATTTGTAGAGGAATCCAATGAGGTTTCAGTTACAAGTCAGGGTGGCTCATTTAGACCAGAGTTGGTCTGGTTTCAGTCCCAGTTTCATTTTCTTGTTTTCAAGCTGTGAAAATTAATTTTAGGGCAAAGGATCAAAAACCCTGTAGGAAAAGCGACATTATGTCTTAAAATATCGGTAAAATGAGAGAAATGTAAAGGAATTTCTTGTACTGTCAGGCTAAAATTTTAATTTTTGTTTTACTAACTACAATGGAACCTGACTGAAGTATTGAAAGTCCCCAAAGTCCACATAACACAGACATTTCAGAACACCTGTAAAGAACAAACTAAAGGAAACATGTAGAAACCACTTGAAAGTGCTTCAGCCTGAGAACAAGAGATGCTTCTTAATACAAATGTTGGTGGGAATAAGGAACAAGTACCCAGCCGCGTTGTTAAAGCAGATATCCTGGCTTCTTTCAAGATACAGCTGGAGGATCATTTAGCTATAAGAAGCCAATAAACCGTCTTATGTTTATAGGGGGCAATGGATATAATGTACCTGAAATCTTGTTAAATACACAGCAATTCATCCGGTTTTTTATACTTTTTTTTTCTCAAAGAGGAGCCAGGTGTCTCAAAAGTTTTAAAGGATGTGAAACTTCAGGATCACATCTATTCCAATCTATCACTGTGGTATTGACAATTATTATTTTACTATAATTGTACTGTAGTTTGTATGTTTTTAGTATAATTGATATTGGTGATTCTGAAAAGAATCAGACTTTTACTTTTTTGTACAGCAATAGGCAAAGATTTCTGTTATTATGGGTAAATTCTAATGTAGACAAAGGCCCATTGCTATGTTTTACACGTCTTCTCAGTCAGCAGAAAGCTGATGTAAAGTGGCTCGGTCAAGAAAATTGTTAGCTATTTAGTGCTACGGTATGTGATTTTATGACAAGACCTTAAGAATATTCCATGATGGGTATAAGCTCTGTGCAGTTACAGCAGGGAATGTGTCACGAAGCAAGCTCTGTTGTAATGCTCAATCAAACATAAAGGGCTTCCACTAGTACTCCTGAGACTATCATACGAATAAGTCACAGGTGCTACTGAATGTTGTGATTTGTCTGTAGTGTGCTTACATATGATGTTCAGAAAGCTGTACCCAGTGCAGCATTACTCGGGGCGTGTTCAGTATGGAGGCAGAGCCCTTGTCTGAGGGTGATGCAGTACCTTGACAACCACAGCTGGGGCGGTTAATTTCGGATGAGCTACAGCTGTGGGAGCGGTTAGGAACACACTGAACACAGCTAGCAGGACTTAGTCCAGGAACCCCGCAAGGGGAAAATATTATAGTGACAGTCCCGAAGGGGATTGTGAAGAAAGAGCGCAAGCCCGTCTTTTTTTTTTTGGTTTCTCTTCGTTTTCTTTTTCTCCTCTCCTGCCCCGCCATGGATCATCTGGGGTAGGCTGAGTTTTTAGGCCTCGCTCTCTTTTTTCTGCAGTCTGGACCACGCTAAATAGGGACAGTCCAGGCTGGATGCCACTGTTCCATGTGGTACATTTTTCTTTTCCCTTTTCTTTTTAGTTTTTCCCTCCTTTGCTGACCTCACACCGGTGCGTCCGCCCCCTCAAACAGGGCATTGACATCTACCGGTGTTCGCCTTGGCTCGTCCCAAGAACCCGCATTATTACATCAGGAATACTCAATTCTATGTCCACATCATTTATAAAAAAAAAAAACTAAAAAAACCCACGTAACCCAAACACATACGCTGCATGCCTCTTTTAAGACCAATACTGGAGGAGGCTCAGTGCATTTACTTTAAAAGTGCCAGTAGATTTTATAAAGAAAGGTACAAAGAAGCTTTGAAATAAAATAATATATAATTCTATGATTTCGTTTTGGAGTGCTGGCGTGGCATCATCTGTTCAATGAATATTAGCTAGCTTTCTAAAGAGAGGATTTTTAACCTTTCCGCACCTACAGACAGCCCCTCCCCCCGGACCCTCACTTATCACCAGCATGCCCCATTCTCCATTAATATCCTATGTTTTCATAAGTTTCCATTAATATCCTATGTTTTCATAAATCTCCAGTAGAAAAATAGAGAAAAGAGAACTTCTTAGGAGTGTTGTTTTCAAAACCTTTCCTCTCCCTTACAAGGACGCAAACTGAATTCAGTGCAGTAACATTCTTGTGCATCAGCCCAGTGCGGAGCCAGTTTGGGGGCAGCAACAATGAAAGAGGGGGCTGCTTTGCTAAATTAAGACATCGCGTTCATCACATAACACCAGTACTATAATAAATTATTCGCCAGTATCCTTACTTTCGATACTTCCTTGGTTCACAACACAACTCTGATCGTCCCTTTGACATAATCAACAACGCTGTCCTGGTCAATGAGGAACGAGTTATTCAGTCATAGTATACGGCTATGAACATTAAGAACATTAGAAAGGTTAGAAAACTAGAGGAGGCTGTTTGGTCCATGTACAGTAGACCACTTGGTAGTCAATATCTAATTAATCCCAAGAACTCATGCAGCCATTTTGCAAAAGAAGCCAGAGTATCAGCTTGAACAACACCGATAATTATTCTGTTCCATACTCCCACAACTCTATGTGTAAAGAAGCTAACCTCCCCTTTCAGTTTTAAATGCATTTCCTCGTACCTTCAGCTTGGGTTTCACTGCTTATTATGAAGACCTCTAGGGGGATGTGCGTGACTTTGACTTGAAAATCTCACATTTTCCACAAAGGATACTCTGTTTCCTGGAGAAACATGCCAAACTCCGCCTGTTTTCCACAAGGAGAGTGAAATCCTGGCCCAGTGAGAGTGATCAAACATTCTGCATGCTACGCAAGCCTAGCTTCCTAGCAGATGATTCTGAAAGAGGCAGGGGTTTGATTTTTTTTCCCTACTCTACTTCTTCCAGAGCTTAATGTGTTAATTTCTTTACAACCACTTGCTCAGCTCCAGACTGCTTTTTGTACAGAGACACCTGTTGGATATCAAGTGAATTACAGTTCTGCAGCTTGAGAAAAATTAATTGTCCCCCAATCGTCAGCTGTGGTTATGAATGATAATATTCAGGAGCTAACTTTTAATTCTTTAACTTTTAATCCTATAATATTGGCACTTCCTTGTTTAAACTGGACCCCATCCAACTTTAATGAGCAGTCTAGGCATTGCGGTGCCCTGGGGGTAGTTAACACCGCACTGGGCATGGACAGGCTCTCCATCTCCCACGTCACACTCCTTTATACTCTCCTGTTCTTTATCTTCCACGCACTCTCCTCCGAGAGTGGTGATCACACTGACCCCCTCATCGGGGTAACAGGATACAGGACTCCGCACTCCATTACTTCTGGGCCTTTTGCCGTTCATCCTGTTGTCCTCACTGCTAGGAACCTCCTGCTCCCAGACCCCCCCAACACGGAGCCTCCTGCTCCTACTCCATTAGGTCACTGTTTCACACACAACCAGTACCTCAGACTCCCACATCCACCTCCAGCCCTGACGCCCTCTTCTCAACGCCACCAGGTTGGGTCATACACATACACGCTACCTACATCACCGAGTCTCTTCGGCACTACACACCGTGCCGAGCCCCAACACACTGTCCCTCTCTAACACGCACTCACAACCTCTCTGGCACCTCAGTCTCACACCCTTAGGTTGTGAACTCACAGCTGCCAGCACACCTCACTGTGCCCGGCCACCACTGCACCATCTCCCAGAGGGTGTAGCAAGAGAGAGCCCACTCACTTCCCCGATACCAATGTATTTCCAGGGGAAGGGTCCCTCTACCACACAACCCACTCTGGTCCACACACACTAACTCACTCATCAAATCACCACTCACTCATCCAGCAGACAAGACAGCCCTGCTCTTACTCCCTAGTGGGATGCTGTCCCTTTTAAATCTTCCGATGATCTCATAAAGCTCCGTTTCTTCTGTCAGTCTCCTCACAGACTGACGTTTTCACTCTTTTCCTCGCAGGCTATTCCTCTCACAATCCCCTCCGGGATTGTCGTTCTTCTCCACCCCCTCTCGGGGTTACTACAGCGGCTAATCAAATCTTTTCTCACTCATAGTGTACATGGCCGCACGCCCTTCTAACATCGCCCCGGCTAGTAGCGTCTCATACCGCTACTGTCCTGCTTCAGCCCGGCTCTCTCCCAGCAGAGCCTCCACATTTGTCCTCTCACCACTGCAGCCACAGCAAGGCCGGTGTCCTGCTGCATCTTTCATCCCCTTTAAACCACTTCTACACCTGCCGTTCATTCACTTAAGCACGTCGGGTGTGGTTTCCCCGGCAACGCGTCTTCCTTAATCCAGGGCTCCACCTCCCACACCACACACTCCCGGCATTGTACCACAGCATTAAAAGAAATTAGAAATAAAAGTTAAAGAGGAGTTACTAGTTTGGTTAAAAAATCTATAAATTACTTCAGGCATGCTTGGATTCCTTCGAGATCCTTGAGTATTTAAAGCACGGTTTACAATACAAATGTTAAGATCTTTGTCAAATATGCAGAAATGTGCAGATACCCTGTGAACCTGCCTGAGCTGTCAGAAATTCAGTACAGTCAGAGATTCGGCACGGAGATTCAGCACGGTTACAGATTCAGTACAGTCAGAGATAAGGCACAGTTAGGACTACATACTGTACTGTATAACAGACTGAAGGATACACAAACCATCAGTATTTACACCTATCACAACACATACCATTCTTTTCAGAGTTAGGAAAACACGATAAACCACATCTTTTGTAGAAGTCCATGGACTCCAGATGAAGAACCTCTGGACTAAAGAGACTTCAAATTTCACATACTGTATTTTGCACATTTGCAGCAGAAAAAACTTTGTGAAATCTTTTAGCATTCCTGTCTTCTGTTCTGGTGTTGTGAAAAACCGAGTGTTAACAACAATTCACTCCATTAATTCAAAGTGAGGGTGTGCGCCTAAAATATAGCCCGTAAACCTTAAAGGTGTTTTCCTTGTAAAATATGTATTGCAATTTGCTTTTGTAATTTGCTTGTAAAATATGTCTATGTAATTTGCTTGTGAAACTAATGTTATTCCCTAAGCCAGTCGCTTTACTAATTTTATATTATTAGAATCGTAAAGATTCTAATAATTTTTATTCGAAGGTTGATCACATCTAAGAAATCCCCACAAGTCTAAAATAAATCATGCAGAACCCCTATGAGGAAGAAGGGCAATGAGCTCAGTATTCTCCTGCAGTCAGCCGGCAGCGAGGACGTCTGAAAGCTGCAGATCGGATGTCAGAATAATCCTACACATGAATGACATGCGACTGACAGGTGGAGATCTTTGATGGACTTCCTCGGGGCATGGGGAGATCTCATGCTCAAATATTAGAGGATTGCCTATGATTATTGTAAATGTATTGATGTCAAGGACAGACTTTGAAACGGTTCATTATGTCTGACACGTAATTCATACTTCGCCTGCCAATTACGGCCCCTAATTACCCAGAGGAGTTTTTTTTTTTAATTGGCGATTGAAAAGAAACCTTCGTAAATGAATTCACTCCTTGTTAGCTGAGTTCTCTGAACGGGAAAAAAGCTGTAGAGAATGAGTGACTTGAGACCCTTAGAAAAAAAGAGTAGTAGATTAAAAGAAGTGGAGCAGAGGAATTGTAGTAGACGCTGCCTCTCTGAGTGTACCGGTTGTCTGAGAGCTGAGATCAGTAGCAGGCAGCAGTGTGAGCAGTGACCAGGGCTCTAGACTTGTAATAATAATAGATAAAGACTTTATTGATCCCGAAGGGAAATTGAGGAATAATAATTAGTAATAATAACAATATTATCAATAATACTTCTAATAATTATTGGTGTTATTATTATGTTATGTCTGTTACTACAACAACATTCATAGCTCATGTAATGTAAAACATTCCAAGCCCATTTCTTTCTGTTCAAAGAATTGACTTTGAGTCTTTTTTATGTCCTATGTTTCTCTGTTGGTATTAAAATCTGACTGGGGAGAAAGTGCAAGTTAAATCAGAGAAAAAAAAAAAACAGCTTCCGGAGCAATTCACAAAGACAGCTCTCATATAGCCGGTGGGGTTTGGGATAAAAATAAAATGGGTTTGCTTCGCTTGGAAGAAAACTTGTCAAACTTTTTTGAACATATTAATAATACAGCGTTACAGGTAATGGAGAATCCCCCCCACCACCACCAATGTGCAGCCCCACCTGGATGATGCGACGGCAGCCATAGTGCACCAGAACACTCACCACACACCAGCTATCAGTGGGGAGGAGAGCAGAGTGATGAAGCCAGTTCAGAGATTATATTAGTATTGGTATATACTAATATTAGTATAATATTATATCATATTAGACACAACAAAAAGAATGATATTATTTTGGCATTAAACAAGATATACTCTAATGATACCTGTAAAAAATAATGTACTCACACAAATCCAAATAGCTAGTTTTTGAAAGGTATGTGGCTAAATGTCTGAAGCCCAAGTGAAACAGGTGAAGCACCCAGGTGGTAGACTTGTGCCCTCTGCTGGCACATTGATTAGACTGTCCTGTAGGCCTGAACTCCTGTGCTGAAGAATAAAAAAAAAAACATATTTTGTGTGGCATTTCTTTTAGATCAGAGATATGAATGGTAAACTGTTTTTGAATAAACCTAAAATGTTTAAATATTTTTTTTCTGTGTTGATATTACCACAGGTCCTTGTTTGCAATCATAGCCACAGCATTCAAGCCTTGCAGACATTTGATTATGGAGTTGGTACGTCTTTAAAAGCCAGACCGCCTTATTCCCTCATATTCCTAGAGGGTAGCGCACTGGAGTGGCAAATTGTGCTTCTGGAGTCTGACCCTGTTCCCGTTTGCAGATCGAATATAGCTTGAAATTCTGTACCTTGGGGCTCCGTGGTGTGGCTGTCCCGCAGCACAGGGGCCCTGTGTTCAATTCCTGGGGTGCCATGTCTTTGGAGTTTGTATGTTCTCCCCATGTTTTCTTCCAGGTGCTCCAGTTTCCTCCCTGAAGCCAAAGACATACTGGTACTGTAGCTTAACTAGCTTCTGGGAAAACTGGCCCTGGTGTGAATGTGTACATATCTGCGTGTGCCCTGCAATGGAATATTGTCCTGTCCAGGGTGTATCCCGCCCGCTTCCTGTTGCTTGTTGGGATAGGCTCCAGCTCCTCCGCGACCTGGATTTGGATGATGTGGTTAGATGAAGCTCTTCAAGTCTGACACACAAAGGTCTGCAACTGGAACAGAAGGGACATGTGTTTGCAGACCTTATGAGCCTGAAGTAACTTTGGATGAGATCCTCTGTCTGTACTGTGTAAGACGTCTGCCAACCACAGAAAAAAAACAGTGACAGACTGTTGCTTTGGAATATTCAAACCCTCTCATACTGCATTGAGAGGGGTGCAGACTCCCTGTAGCACCTCAATAAATAACATATTTATTTAGTATTTAAAGTAAAAAGTACAGTTAAGTTAGCCTTGAACTTTCTAGATGTCCACTAAAGGTTCTATAAGCATGTACACATAGAGACAGCAGTAATGTATCGTACATCACAAAACGTTTGGTAATTTCAGCAGTAGATGACAATGAGCTAAATTATTTACTCTGTCTCAAGATGTTGAAAACCGGGCATGTTCCATAACCAAATCTCCCTTAAACATTAGGACTGTAACATATGAATTGTATCTAGCTAAAAAAAAGTAGAAAGCCATTTAATAGCACCATAAGTATTGGTAAAGTTCCAAAATAGATATACTTAAACCTCCTGTGGTATGAGATTAATGCTATCTGTACAGACCTAATTCAGTCCAGTATGTAAAAATTATGTTCAGTTACATTACAGCATACCACATAACATGACCTTGCAACTGTACAAAAGTTTGATTCTTGAAGACCGTACATTTGCATTGTAATTTCTTTAACACAAAATTACTTTTATTTTGGACAAAAATAAATGTGTTTTTCTTGGTGGTTTGATCTTGAGCGCCATAAAAGAAAATAACAACTAAAACCAGCGAGTATCGCAAGTACTTGATAGATGGTGAAAGTAACAGAAACATGTAGAAAGATGAATAAAAAAAGTAGCAAAATGAGCAATTCACCAGGGGATTTTTAATTGAACAACCTACAAGTGCAGTACAATAACCATTTATTGAACAGGCCAGCCATTTGTAAAGCTTTAATAAAGATCCATGGTAGTTCCTCAGCACAGTATTGTGCCATATCATATTAGTAATCAGCAAGGGTGTTAAGCATCAATGCAGGTTGCATTGTAATAATAAAGATTTGTTACATTTTTACAGGAGCACCGAATTCAGAGGACAAAGAAGAAAATGCCACTCCGAATATTTACAGCTTTGATCAAGGGGAACAGTTTGACATTTTAATGGAAAAGGAAAGACTTCTGCTGGAGCACTCTGGAACAATGAATGTCACAAACTTCACCTCGGAACCTAGTGTGCTTATAAAATACAAATCATTTACGGAAAAGATGCTAATTTCATTTCCCCTGGGGGTCATAACACTCCTTACTACACTGTTGAACTGCGCTGTCATCGTAGCCATTTGCACAACAAAGAAATTGCATCAGCCTGCCAACTATCTTATTTGTTCATTGGCTGTGACAGACTTTCTGGTTGCAATTTTGGTGATGCCCTTGAGTATTATTTACATCACCATGGAAACATGGTCGCTTGGTTACATAATCTGCGAGGCCTGGCTAAGCCTGGACATGACGTGCTGCACCTGCTCGATCCTTCACCTGTGCGTGATAGCACTAGACAGGTACTGGGCGATCACAAACGCCATTGAATATGCACAGAAACGAACAGCAAAAAGAGCAGCAATCATGATAATGACGGTCTGGGCCATTTCTGTGTTAATCTCTATGCCTCCCTTGTTTTGGAGGCACAGCTACAGCACCAACAATCTCACCCAATGTACTATTGAGCACGACCACATCCTGTACACCGTTTACTCAACGTTTGGGGCTTTTTACATCCCACTGACGCTGATCTTAATTCTGTACTACAGGATTTACCACGCAGCCAAAACCCTCTACCAGAAACGAGGCTCCAGCCGACACCTGAGCAACAGGAGCAACGACAGTCAAAACTCCACTGCCCACTGCAGGCTAACTCAGACATTCTGCGTGTCAGACTTCTCCATGTCTGACCCCACGATGGAGTTCGATAAGCTGAACGCTACGATTCGCGTCCCGCCCTTTGTGGCCGAGATGGACGAGACCAGCGAGAAGAACCAGATATCCTCGTCGCGGGAGAGGAAAGCCGCCCGCATCCTGGGCCTCATACTCGGGGCCTTCGTCATCTGCTGGTTGCCCTTCTTCATCAAGGAACTGTTGGTTGGGCTCCGCTTCGTTGACCCTTCGGCTGAAATATCAGACTTCCTGACCTGGCTGGGCTACGTGAATTCACTCATCAATCCTTTGCTCTATACCAGCTTTAATGAGGATTTCAAGTTTGCTTTTAAAAAACTAGTCAGGTGCAAATAGCCCTCCAAATCGTTTGGCATTAAGGGAGAGCAATTCTGGAATAATGTGGTGGATTATGGACCATCCTGGAATAGTATGTACAATGGCGTTTTCATTTTTTTTTTAAATACAACTAAAATGTTACAAATGGACATATATTTAAAAGAAGTGAGGAAGACTGAAGAAGAAGGCTCCAAAGCCAAATGACTGTTTTTCTTACGGTTCAGCGTGGAATTGGCATCTGTTCGTTCCATATATAAATAAAGCCACATCTAACCCATTATCCGTAATCTCCCATTGCTTTATTTTCTATTTCCCCATTTATGCACACACGTTTCAGACTCTGTGAAACTCTGGAACTTTATGAAGTCAGCTAGTGTGACTGCCATGGATCACCAGCATGTTATTTAACACTCTCAAGGATGACAGCTGTCAAGTTTGTTTTGTCCAGGGGCCAAGACTGACTAAATAGAGTATGTTTACAGTAACTGCTATACGATCTGAAAAAGCAGGGGATCCATACAGAATTTCTTTGGGCATTTTTATTTCCCCCATCTCTCTGTTATTTTAAAGAGCTATTTCGACATGTCTTTCATCATTTTCAGTCTAACACAAGTCCACGTTTACAGCACTGAGTGCCCACGGCTGGAAAAAAAAATGTTTACTCATATTACTCATATAATACTACTTAAGTTAGTATTAGTTCAATCTTATTCTGTCCTACTTATTTCAACTAAATGAAAGTAAGGAATATTTGTAAAATGCAATTCAGACATAAGCTACTTTTCAACCGAGAAAATGACTGTTGCATCAAGAACACAGTATCATGTTGAATTCTACAAATGCACAAAAACATGAATAAATGTTCAACAATCTTCAAAAAGATACCATTGATGAGTATTTGTGAAAGTAAATGAGTAAACAAATAACACTCTCAAACTATGGGTGTAAATACTTTTGTCTATGATTGTATAAAAGAAACAAGCTGTTCTCCTAAAAGTGTTCTCACCACAATAACTGCACGCTGTGTTGGGAAGAGTTACTTTTAAATGTAATGTACAGTTACAGGTCACGAATGTAAGGTACTACTTTTCAAATCCAACAAGACGTTGAGGGAAACAAATCCTAAAAACTCATAGGTTACAGTGATCTACAGTAAGTAATGTGTTCATACTAAATACAATGTATTATTTAAAATACATTACCTCTCAAAACCAATTTTTTTACAAATTGCTTCTTAATCAAAAAGGTAGTCTCTTATTCAAGCAACTTGTAATTGTAATAGATTACTTAAAAAGTAATTCTCCCCAACACTGACTGTACAGTAAAGTGTCACTGCTTTAAGTGTACAGCATTTCACAGTGGCTCCTTGATCACCTTGCCCATCTCCTCCTATCAGAAACTCATCAAAAGTCATTGATGGCACATAAATGTTCATTGGTTTAAATTCTCCAAGTCAAAAAATATCAGGCCATTCTGGTGCACACCTAGAAACAATGATATTTGGTTTGTGAGGCCGTCTCTTCTTAACTGGTAGCATCGCAGAGGAAGACCTCTGCACATTAACCATCCAACAGACAAGTATAACAGACCCCACACACCTTTAGGACAGTCCCAAGGATCTGCACAAATAAAAACTCAATATGCCCAGATGAAGTGAAGTCCGGGAGGGTTTATTGGCTTATTAAGTATTTTCGGATTCTTACAACAAAACAACAGCATTGAAAAGCAAACACTACTTTTATCATGTACACCCTTCATACAGTATGCCAGCAAAAGCTTAATTACACCTCAATCTTAATTGCTAATTCTCAACCCTTCACCAATTAGCCAGTGATTAGGTAATCGACACCCACTGTGGCTATTTACAGAGGTTAGAGGCTGTATAATGACCTCTATTGGAAGGTCAGCTGCAACTGCAGCACTTTTTTTGACCTGGAGCTCCATTTACATTCTGAAACGGAATAGCTGGGCCTGAGGCTACACCAACCCCATTATAATAGCGTCACCGTCACTCCCTTATTCGGTCTGTATCACTTGGAGAGCCCAGTTTTCCCTTTTGTCAAAAAAATCAACAGAGATCCTTTCCTCTAAAACAGCACCTGAAGTTATTAATCCCATGTGAGGGCTCCTACCTCCTTTCCCATTGGAAACACACTAGCTTACCAGTTCTTTGGGAAAGCAAACCATACTTCTCCTCTCATACATCTTGAACCACTGGCACACACCTTCGCAATAAAATCAAATAGCTTTAATAATTTCTATGCTTGCTCAAATGATTAGATCTTTTTAAACCACTTCTACTTATCCCTGCACTAAGAGAGTGACTGACTTAACCATTAGATGCCTTTTCCTGCTATTTATAACGCTTTATAGAAGAACCTAATTGGAACCAACTGCACTAGATTCCTCTTTTGCACCCAAGTAGGAATTATGCCTTACTTATGTTCTCTCCTTGTCCTTACTGGTAAACCAGCCTCCAGTGACTTAAATGCAAGACAGACAATGTCGCTGTGAGAGCATTCTGTCAAGGAAGGTAAGTGTAAAAAGTGTTTAAAACATTTTAGTGGGCTGATGTGAGTTGAAATGAGAAGAACTGCAAATAGTTATGTTACTGGTATGCCTGAAGAGGTGATTAGGTTTTGAGTTGATATGCATAATATGCATTGGATGTGTGTTTTATGATAATTATATGAATTGAAAAACACTATATACAAATAAAATTGCTTGATTGATTGATTGATTCGTTGATTAATTAAGTCATGCCCGTACATACAAAAAGGCCAAGCCACTCTGGAGCCTTCTAGGTGTCCTACTCAGCACCCCTTTTATTCTGTAGATTATCATGTTGATACAGTGAAACACTGGGACCCAGTGGATATCATGTAGCCCCACATTGCAGCGTGTCGTTCTGTTGCTTTGATCTGGTATATAGCTTGGTCAGAGAGCGGACAGATAAATTATAATTAGGGAGCAGACTGTTAATGATGGGAGCAGGGAAGTTAAAAATCTGACAAGAGTTCAAGAGGCAGTTAAAAAAATTAGGGTTTAACCTCCTTCCAAATGTTCATTTTAATATGCATTTTTCATACTCAAGGTCTGCTTTAAAGTTAAGTCTCCTATCCTATGTAGTCCTACGAAATATTGAAAATGGTCAGAAGAAGAAAGTGAATATATTTACCCCCAGTTTTAATGAACAGTGGCAGCACGTAAAATAGCATGTCTTGCTTTTCTAATCTTGTAACTGGAAGCCCTATGTTCACATTAGGATCTGGTGAAAAACTTATCATTTAAAAGATTTCCTTCTTTCTTTCCTTGTGATTTAAGGGCTTGTGTGATGTGTCATACATCCATAAATATTCTGTTATCTCTTTGGAAAAGCTTTTAGCTCTGAAATGTTTTGATATTTTCCTGCCTTCTGTATTTTGGTTGCGCTGGAGACAAATCATTTAATTAAAGATGACTGTATATTTGACACCGAGCTGCATAATTACAACATATCGTATTTGAGCAGGTCTTAAATGTTCTGGCCCTGGCTATTTGAGCTGGCCTTAGCCAGTAGCCTTCACACTTCCTCTGAAACTAGTTCTTCTGAATTGCTGTTTTTGGCCCTGGAACGAAACCGAAATGGATTTTAATTCAAACAAATCCCCCAACAGGCTTTGCTGCTCTCAGAACAAAACAAAATTTTTAGAATGAGTCACACCTGAAAGAAAACAATGTTCTCTCTGTAATAGAGTTTGCTGACAAATTCGCCAAAGAGAATTCTAAATTTTTACAAAGCTTTCAGACAGTGTGCATCAATGCTTTTATTTGGTCCCTGTGTAACTTCCAGGGATGTTTAGAGAATAATGAATGAGCAATAAAGTTTGAGTTTAAGGTTAGTGGACAGGTCTTGGTTTCAGTGTAAACCCCTTAATGAGTGCTGTTGGGAGCCTTCAGTCTTATTTCTCAGCAATTAGCTTTACAACACACCTCCACAATCAGGCCATGTTGGAAAACCTATCACTACTATAACTCTTTGAAAGATATATAAATAGAACCGAACATTCATACAATTACTGTATATATTTGGATTTTAACTTGCATATTGATAATGGGAAAAGGGCAGTTCAGTTGTGTTGAGGAACAATGTTTAAATGATTTTAATTCCCGATTGACAGGTTTAATAAATTAGCATAGGGTTAAAAAACATCATTAATAAATTATCATAGGATTACAAAAAAGGCAGTGGTAGACTTTGATCTAGGAGTCATTTGAACACATTCGTGTTGTCACATACTGTTTATTTGAACTACAGGGTGTTGGGCAGGGACTTAACAAAATAGGTGGTGGACTGTAATATATCAGAACATTCCAGAAAATAAATCCTAAAATCTAGTCCAGTGTTACCTTTGATTGAACCATTTCTTCCACAGGTTCCTTATTCTGGGTCCTTATCTCAAAGACATACCATAGGCACAGGACACCTTTCCTTGGATAAAGCCACATTTATTGTAACAGAGGGATGTATAAGTTATAGAACTGTAAAAAAACCACAGTGTTAACGCTTCCCTGCTGTCCTCTTCTCAGAACCCCTTTTCCAAATCCTCTTGCTCCAGATCTTGCCGTTCTGCTCTAGGAGAACTTTGTGTGGGAAGGTCAAGAGATCCCAGAATCCCTTGCACCAGCCTGACAGCACACGCAGTGACTAAGGAGGAAGCAGCTGTCAAATAACCCAGAAAGCCAAGCTTAGCTTTGCTCTGGGACACCTACAGATCTCCCATGTGTCAGTGACAGCACAACCTGACTACTGACAGTGACACTCACACTTCTGTTGCCCATTGTCTTTGGACCATGAATAACCCGTTCCATCCCAGTCCCTTCGGCAAATAAATAAAAGACTGAAACAACTCAGGCCAAACACCAAAAAAAGAAAATGGATGTGGTGTATAAACATAAACATTCATTATGACTCAAGGTACCGATAATCCACAGTTCACATTCTCATTAGTGTCCAAATCTGTCCACAGAGATGTCAGGCCTGCTAAGATTGTATAAAATGGTCATACTGGACAATAAAAGCCTGTTTTCCCCTACCATCAGTGACCAGAACTACTGTATGAGATACAGTACCTCTCAATGTTGCACCATGGGCATTACCGGCCTAAACCCAAACACTCATGGACAGGAACAAGCTTATGCTGCAGTAAACCTATATTTCTGTTTCTGTTCTTTCTAATTGTTTCAGTTGACTGTTCATTCATGCAAATAACATGCATAGAAAAAATAAATTCTAATACACAAATAGTTTTCTCTTCCAGATGCATGTTTTGCTTTCTGCTTTGA